GAAGGAGAAAGGGAGTAATTGGTGATTGTGTAATATGGCCTGAATCCAGAATTCACCAACTCACTGGGTCAGAACTCTGGAAGAGTTTTTTGAGACATTTAAAGGACAGTACTTAACTAGCTGGAAGACTGTTAAAGGCTGGAAAGAAGATCCTAATGATTGTTAGTGGTTAATTTCTATCTGTATGTTTGGAAGGAGAAAAAGTCACTTGTCCAAACATATCACAAGGCAGCTGAAGTTTATTTAAAATATTTTGCTTTTACCTTCACATGGATTTCAGCTTCTAATGCTGAGACAGAAAATCTGCAATTGCCACATGAAATGCTAAATGGTAAGGAATTAATAAACACATGCAGATTCTGTTGGCAGTATAGAAAAGAATTCTCTGCTTTTTGATACAAGAATGTTAAATATAAAATTCACATAGCAGATCTTCAAAATTGTCAGAATTTAAAGCAATTCTAAAACACTGAGAAGTTACTCTAAATGATGGAGAAGACTAAGGAAAAAAACCAGTTCCCCATTGCAATGTCTGTGCGGCTCATTTATTTACCCTGAAAACATGCCAGATATCTCAGAACAGGCTGTAAGTTAACTAGCTCAAGAAATTTTGGCTACCGAACTGCTAAACCTCACATATTGAAGAGATTAAGCTATAAAATGAAATAACCGATCCCTGAAGATGAGTGGGATCCTCTGTGAGGATGCCTTGAAGGGCAGAGGAACCATTAAAATCTTGATGACCTATATATAATTTCCTCAAAACAATCCAACCTCATGCAAAATCGACCAGCTTGTCTGAATGGGGAACTTAAACTGAATTCAAAACCAGACATGATGAGATGGAAAGTGAAAGCAGGGAAGGACAACTAAGGAGGAATATAGCATCACCCAAGCACTTTGGGACATAGGAAAGTTAGACCTTGGCTAAGTGGAAACTGGTGAAGGATGCAAAGGTCAATATGAATGACTTCTACAGGGCTTCATATCAGTAAAGGAAACACCAGGGCAGATGTAGAGTGAACAGTGCAGGCAAGCTTGTGCAGGCAGAGATATGAATGAGGTGCTCAGAGCCTTCACAGAAAAGGTCTTTCCTCAGGCATCTTGCGTCTCCATGCTGAGTAACAAAATTTGTGGAGGGGAGAAACACATTGAAGGTTCAAAGAGGATCATCTTAGGGACTACTCGGGTGGGCAGATCATACACAAATACAAGCCTACAGGACCTCACAGAAGGCATATGAGTGTGTTGAGGGATCTTAAAGGCTAATGTCACTTTGTGCTGGTAAAGGCAGGACTGGTAAAGTCTTCATACAGAGAGAACATCTGAGGGCAACACCAGGCTAGGGGAGTGAGATTGAAGGACAAGTTATCAATCTGCCATGCAGATGAACCTCATCAGGCTTGAAGAACAGGAACCTCATGAAGTTCAACAGAAGCAAATGTTAAGTCCTGCATTTAGGCAAAAGCACTGTGCACCAGTACAAACTGTAGACTGACTGTTCACCAGCTCTACCAAAACCGTACCTGGGAATCTTTGTGGACACCAAATTAAACCAGTTCAGTTGTGTATTCTTGCAATGATCATTTTTTTCTTTTCTGTATGGCCAGTCTTCGCGAGCGAAGATTTGGGAAAGGTCATTAACCCTTTGAGCCTGCGCAGTGGATCTTTTAGGTGAGACCCAGTGTGCGCTGAACTGAGCCCACCATTTAATCCTGAGGTTCATCTGCCGGGGCCGAGCAAGCTTGGACAGTGGCAGTGAGGTCCTCAGGACGTAGGTTTGTTTAGAGTGACCTTCTCTTAGATGGATGGTCTTACAGGGTTGACGAGCTCCATCTGCCCGGGGGAGTTTTCCCTGACTGGGAATCGAACCTGGGTCGCAGCGGTGAGAGTGCTTCAACCTAACCACTAGACCACCTCCTATATACCGCTCAATGATCATAGAATCATAGAATTAACTGAGTTGGAAAAGACTCCCGAGATCATCAAGTCCAACCCTTGATCCACTACCACTGTGGTTACTAGACCATGGCACTAAGTGCCACATCCAGTCTCATCATAAAAACCTCCAGGGACGATGAGTCCACCACCTCCCTGGGCAGCCCATTCCAATGTCTGATTACTCTCTCTGTAAAAAATTTCTTCCTAATATCCAACCTAAACCTCCCCTGGCACAGCTTAAGACCATACCCTCTTGTCTTACTAATAGTTGCCTGGAAGAAGAGACCAACCCCCACTTGGCTACAACCTCCTTTCAGGGAGTTGTAGAGAGTGAGGAGGTCTCCCCTGAGCCTCCTCTTCTCTAGGGTGAACCAACCCCAGCTCCCTCAGCCTCTTCTCATAGGACTTGTGCTCCAGTCCCTTCACCAGCCTTGTTGCTCTTCTCTGGACCTGTTCCAGCACCTCAATATCCTTCCTGAAGTGAGAGGCCCAGAACTGGACACAGTACTTGAGGTTTGGCCTCTCTCCCTGAGTACAGGGAGAGAATCACTTCCCTGGTCCTGTTACAGGCCAGGATGCCATTGGCCTTCTTGGCCACCTGGGCACACTGCTGGCTCATGTTCAGCTTCCTGTCAATCCAAACTCCCAGGTCCCTTTGTGCCTTGCTGCTCTCCAGCCACTCTGTGCCCAGCCTGTAGCACTGCAGGGGGTTTTGTGGCCAAAGTGCCAAAGTGCAGGACCCGACACTTGGCTTTGTTGAATCTCATCCCGTTGGAATCTCCAGTCTGTCCAGGTCCCTCTAAAAGCCCTTTTGCCTTCCAGCTGATCAACTCCCCCCAACTTGGTATCATCTGCAAATTTGTTAATGGTACACTTAATCCCCTCATCCAGGTCATCAATAAAAATATTAAATAGAACCGGACCCAACACTGATCCCTGCGGGACACCACTAGTGACCAGCAGCCAACTGGATGCAGCACTGTTCACCACCACTCTCTGGGCCTGGCCATTAGCCAGTTCCTAACCCAGCACAGAGTGCCCCTGTCCAAGCTGTGGGCTGCCAGCTTTCTCAGGAGTATGCTGTGGGAGATGGTGTCAAAGGCTTTGCTGAAGTCCAGATAGACCATATGCACAGCCTTCCCCTCATCCACCAGGTGGGTCACCTGATCATAAAAGAAGATCAGGTTGGTCAGAGAGGACCTGCCCTTCCTAAACCTGTGCTGCCTGGATCTGGTCCCTTGTCCAACTGTAGATGCTGTGTGATTGCACTTAGGATGATCTGCTCCATAACCTTGCCAGGCACTGAGGTCAGGCTGACAGGCCTGTAGTTTCCCGGGTACTCCTTGCAGCCCTTTTTGTGGATGGGTGTGACATTCACCAACTTCCAATCATCTGGGACCTCCCCAGTGAGCCAGGACTGTTGGTAAATGATGAAAACTAAATCCAACCTGATCTGTATAAGCAATAACTGGTAATCCATTACTAGCACTGACATAAGCATATTGTGATTACTTATTACTTGTTGTGACTGATTATTTCAAAACTTTTAGGACATTACTTGCCTCGCTGAAGATGTATTTAGTTATTTTATCAGATCACGTATTCGCAGATAACAATCTGCATGTGGTTCAGAAAACAGATTAATTAAGGAGTTTCAATATGTTCTCATCAGTGATGATCCTGCTTCAGTTTGGCACACTGATTAAATCTTAAAGTGCTTGATGAAGCATCCTTTTGTGCTCCTGAAAAGTGGTTTTCAGATCTGTCCCCCTGTATAAACTAGCCTGCATAAGTGAAGGGGCTTCTAGAGCCCTTCATATATACCCACTATACATTATCTGCTGGAAGAAAGAGATTATGGCTTAAGTCCATTCCAGTGAAATCCATATTAATAAAACGATTGATAATTCTGTTTTCTTCCGAGGATCCCATGCTCACAAAGGATAATCATAGGTGAATACCTTCAATGCCTGAAGAGGCTTAACTTGCAATCTTCTAAGGACAAAGTACTTTGAAGACTTGATTTCTTTGCTTTATTCTGGTCAAAAACAAGCTATCAAATAAAGATGTACATTTCTTTCTGTAAAACAAACAAACAAACTAAAAACCAAATCAAAATCAGTCAAAAAAAGTAGCGGCAGACTAAATATTTTTAAAAGAGTTTCTTTAATTCAGAAACATATAAAAAATTCTGTGTACAATTTCAATACCTGAATACAAGATTTAGAATGGTAATAATTCATGTGAAAGTACAATGTGCAAGAAAATGGGCTACATTACCTAATGGAGTAACTCTGTTCTGGTTTTATTCCTCAAATTCTTTCAAAACTGTTGAGACACCAAGAGAAGTAGGATTGAGTAAAGTGCCTAACTACTGCTATACCTTTTTCTAAAGAAGCTTTAGTTATGAACAAAATGAAACAATGAAAACTGCTCTGCATGGGAAGACACAGATATTAGTTTTTTTAAAAAGGAAAGGGTTTTTAAAGCAGGAAAATAACTGAGAGTGTCGAAGGTACTACAGCTATTCTCATGCTGAAATTAGGCACTTGTTTAAGCTTTTTGTTGGCTTTATCCTATTGAATGCTATTAGTTAGTTATATATTCAAGGAAACTGAAAGCAGAGATGAAAAATTGTCCTTTGCATTGCTAAATATAAAAATGAACTAAGATTGCCTACTACTGAACAGATGTTAATTGGCTGTTCTTTTCACGAGAGTTAAACTTGAGCAAATACCAACTTTCCAAATCCAGCTGAAAGGCAAAAGAAACAGAAATGTTATGACAGACGTAGAAAACTGCTGTCCAGGCTGGTGTCCAGGCCACCTGAGACCAAACAAGAACAGCTGGAAGCCAGCAAAAATCATTACTGCCTCAGTAGAGTCAAAGTCATGTATTGCAGAAATAGAGAATGAATGGTACTGGAGGAATCAGTGAGATGTACTTGAATTACTGGAGAAATCTCAGATAGCTCTTGAAAGTGGAGAAAAAGTTGAAAACGTGATTTTTTTTTTTTTTAAATGAGGCAAGTATAAAGCATGCTATATCTTTTTCAGAAGCATCATTCTAAATACCAGGAACACTGAAATTACCAGTACAAATTGCTTCCAGCTGAAATTGCAGCCTACCCAGCCCTTTCATTTCTGAGTCATGACTACCCTAACAAGGTATGCAGTGAATTTAAATTACACCTTGATAGCAAAATGTTATCATCTCAGAAATATATTGATCCCTTAGATGAATTACATCATAATAGCAAAATTTTGCTATCTAAAATGATTTAAGTTATCAGAATGGAATTGAAAGGGTTACATTTTAATACTGATGTTACTGTACCACTGGTGCTACTTTAATCATAGCAATGTGTGCTGAACATTTTTTGTAACTCAGCAAAGTGATTATGCATTTAATGAAAGGAATTCTTCCATTTTTAATTTTAAATATGCTGGAAGTGAAAATCTTTGGCCGCTACTGCTATAGACTGATGTCAGTTAGACTCTGCCTGACACCACTTTAAGACCATAGAGAGAGGATTCATTTCACTGAATGCAGGACTTGGACATTTGCGCTTGAGGACTGACTCCAGACTCCCATTCTAATGAAGGAAGAACACAGAACAATTTGTGTACTGTGTTTAAGTACATATTTTTTTAATTTGAGGTGAGTAATTGTAGAATTATCCTTCTTTTTCCACGAACTTGCTGTTTGTCTGCCTATCTCTCTCAGTCACACATTCAGTGATATTGATATGTTATCATGTGATAAATCTGCTTCCATGGGGTTTAGACAAGCAGCTCTTATGCATATCGTACGTTATAGATGCTTACATTTGGCAAGATAGATGCCACTACAGATGCTGAAATCTTAGTGAGAAATTCAGCTTATTTCATAGAATTCACATAATTCAATTATCAGTTACCCTAGGGCACCCAAGCCCATGTGTACTTCTTCCTCTGTTCAAGGACATAAGCAGATGCATCTACATTTGTTTCTTTGTATAGTCTTTTTGATTTGCCATATGAACATATTTTATTGTCTTGGAAGAAAATGATGACAGCAGAGAAATATATTGTTGTCAGTCAAAGCCTCTTAATCTAAATGAAAGAGCTCTTGGTGGTGTAGTTAATGGACATGGGATTGTGGGAATAAGGTCAATCCTTTTTCACTTTTGTATTCCTGCTGAAATGTCCATTGTATTTCACTGAAAGTAAAGATGACACATTGCAAAGGCATTGGATTGTCCCATGAAATACAACAATCCACAGCATGTTAGCACAATTTTTTTCTTTTCATATTGCCCCAAACTTCAAAAAAACTCATTGTTTTCAAAAAATAATAATAACCATTCTCAGCAGTTTCTAAGTAATGAAGTCTCTTTACATTTTAGGCTTTTAATTCTGTTTTATTTCTTCCAGTGAAGAGATGGAAAAACCCCGAGATCAATTCAAACTCATTTTTCAAAAGCACTCACTTCCCAAGCAGAAACAAATTACCACCATCTCTCTGAGATTTAATTGCTTTCACTCCAGAAAAACACTCCTTCTGCACAGGGGAATGAAGCAAAAGAGAAATGCTAGATGCATCGGTAAAGAATGAGTGGGTTTGAGTTGTTTTTTCCTTCTCCCAATTTAAGTTAGGGTTACTTGTCAGTTAATATAATTAATTTGCACATCACGAAAAATTTGGCACTTCCCTTGTTAAAGTTAGGAGCTGAAATATCTGTTCACCTACAGACTTCCAAAAGAAGGTACTTTTACAGGGAAAAAAAAAGAAAAAATAGAGAAATAAATAGAAAAAAGCAAAAGGCAGAAGAGTGAGAATCTGCACCTGCTTGAGAGAAAGCAAGGAGAAAAAGAAGGAAAGCTGGAAGACAAAAAAGCATGAAAGAAATTAGATCTAAGTTGCAATATTTCTGAAGCAGAGGGATCCAGCCAATCCAGCCAAAATGAAAAAATGGGCCAATCATGCGTAACATAAAGAAGCTCAAAGTAATAAGATTTGGTAAGGACAGAGTTATGATTATTTTTCTTTTTTTCAAGTGAAATATTGTTAAGTGAGCTATAGTAGGCAGTGGTAGGAAAGGAAACATCTTGTTTACAAATGTCAGCCAGCAATTAGCATCATTTAAAGAGTGGAACCACCACTGCTGTTTTTTGTTAGCTTCGAAAATCTATCTCTTTCTTGTGGCCACGTTTTAAGAGGCAAAGTAGACAGCAAGACTCTGAAACCAGTTCATAAATAGTTGATTTCATATTTTAAAATCTTGCCTATAACTGTCACCCCCCTTGCGTGGATCACAGATGGTGAAGAACTAATTTGTTACTGTTTGATAACGGCTTTTATGTATCAAAGCGCTTATTTACTACTCTGTGGGGGGAAATGACAGACTAAAAGCAATTATGTGTTTTTCTTTCAGTTTTTCTTTAACCACTGTGCTCTTTGGCTTTTTTTTTTTTTTTTTCCACTCCCGACATGTTTCTCATTTGAAATATAGCATTGTGAATCTTTTACATATGTTGGTTCTCATTTAACCCTCTTTCTGGGTTTTCAAGAATGCATCTGGCTAGGCAGATCAACTGTAATCTTTCATGATTGTTTATAATGGCCCAGTGATAAGTAATAACACTCAGGGGTGTCTCCCGGTAACAGTGTATTACATTTCAGTATTAAAAATGCAAATTGGAACTTTGCTTTTGAAGATTGTCAGAAAAATGCTTCAAGAAGGTAGAATAGCTACCAGGACGCCTGTAAGTGAAATCAACCCCTCTTCCTCCACCATGTGGGGCCTCCTGCCAGCAGGTTTTCTGAAGGACCCCCCTCAACCCCTCCTCCTTCCCCCCAAATAAATAAATAAGTGAAGAGACTTTCCTCTGTACATGGTATTAAGTAACTGATGTTAAATCTCTGGCCCTGTAAAATCATAAACTCCCACATCTTTCCAATTCTTTTTCCTCACTGGTCATAAGGCAAACTACTCACTTGGTGTTGCCACCAAAAATGATTTTGCTGTGAAGTGTGCTTTCTGGTGTTGCACAGCAGCAGAACTGATGGGGCTGAGGGAATGGTTTCTGCACGTCTTTATTTTGAACAAACAAAAAAGGTTCCAATTTGGTGATGACCAGGGCTGATTCGTTGGTGACTTTCCTTAAAGTATATCAATAGACCTGCTTGTGTGACTAAAGTTTAAGGTGTGCATGAACACCATGGCAAATTTGGTCTTTAGTGTAGAATTTTTCCTACTGAATTAAGAGTTAAATTTAAAGGCAAACAAATTCTATTATAGATGGAATACTTCAATATAGCAGTGAAATATCATAATTATCATTATCGGCTGAAGGAAACATTGTCTATTGCTGCTAAAATGAATAGGAATTTTCCCACTGACTTAAATGAAAGGAGTAGGTCACCATAGAAAAACCCATGCAAGCTTTTGTTTGTCTCATTATATTCCTTAAATTACCTCCTGGCTCTCTTTGCCTGTTTCACCCTCCTTTTCTTCTTCCATATTATGGCCATACCGGCATTAGGAGATGCCTATAAATGTCGGTGGGACTGCTTGGGGAACAATAAACTGCTCAACATAAGGAACGACAGAGTGGTTTTGCCAAATAAGTATATACGGAGCATGCACTTCCATACTCTCTGAAGCCTGCCTTTTAACCAAAAGACTACCAAGAAGAAAAATGAAGGAAATGGAGGAAAACAGAAAAGGAGTGTAAGAGGACAATGGAATTTAGGAAGCTAGTTTAAATTCTAGCCCATTTAAAGATGAAATATCATAATATATCCTTTCTTACAGCCAAAATATGAGTAACACTTATTTCAATCCATGAATATCAGAAAGCTGCAGTAGTATCCATGAATTGCTTCCATGTGTTTTTGAGTAAATCCCTGTCCTGTATTGTACAAATCGCTTTCTCAAGACACAGTTTGAGTACCGTCAGGAATCCTTTCCTCCTTGTTTGTCTTTCTCAGGGTGAAATTTACCCCTGGTAGTTGTCAAGAACAAGACCTATGTCACTGAACTCCTGCTTAAGCCAATTGATTTCCAGTGAGAGATATATTTAGGCTAATCAGGTCCACTGTGTCTGGATGTGGCAATGAAATAGCTGAAGTATGCTCTATCAGGCCCCATTTGAAAATGCTGGCCCAAGTGTGCCTGTCATTCCTGTTGTATTTCAGACTCTCCATCATTTTGATAATTATACAGCTTGGAAACTTTTTTCTTTTTATAGTCTTTGAAACTATAATGAAGTCTTTGGCGCTGCCAACCCAAACCATCCAAAAATCTTGAATCAGGCTTGAAATAATCATGAGATTGGCCTGAAAATCATGCAACTGAATGTACTTGGCTTCTTTTTATTTGCCTTCTGGTTTTGAGTGTTTAGGGCGCAATGGGGTCACATTTGCAGGGTTTTCCTCTGCCTCTGTGTGGGCCAGATATACAACATTTTTATAAGACAACTGAAATTCCTTGGGTATTCTCATGACTCCAGGAGCTGGGATTTAACGGGGGAGTGTGGGGGAAATCCACTGTGTTTGGGCTTGTGATAAAATTGGAAGCCTTGGCATTACAGACCGTCTCACATTCAAAGTTTGTTTATAAGAGGAATATAGTTATATGGAGAGAGAGAACAGAGTTCCCTTCTGTTCCTTTCTGATTTAGGAGAAATTCCTCCCAAAGGATGAACTTCACTTCTCAGAGCCTGCACAAGGCCTATTCAGCATCTGAAGTGATGCACAGATCTGGCTGTGGCTCTCTTAAATTTACTTCATGCTACATTAAGAGAAACTGCAGAACTTATTGTAGCAGAGATAGTGTAATGTTCAGAAGGAAAAAAGAAATACTTTCTAAAACTGCCTGTTATCAAGGATTTGGAAGCAAAGTTCAACAAGGTGGGGTACAGAACTAAAAGCGCTTGTGAAAAAGGATGGAGAAGGTCCTTGAAGCAAGGAGAGAGCTTGGGATAGAAGCATACGAGCTTAATATCATTTGGTATAATTAAAGATAGGAATCCAGTCTTAGGATAAGTGTTGGAGATGCAGGTGGAAAAGTAAGCAAACAATGATGTAGGGAAGAAAAACTTTTCTCTAAGTTCCCCTTTCTTACTTCCATCATATGTGGAACATAAAGCTTTGCATGTAGGACCAAGATATTAAAGTTGGGATTAATTTTATCACTTATGGATATCTAAACCCCAAAGAAATTTGGAGTGGGATTCACCTTATCCATCATCTAGATGTGTGATAGTTCCTTGGCAAGCGATGGAAACTAATCAATACTTCTGGAGTGCAATTCATCTCATCCTCAAACAGACATCTAGAACAGATTGGATAAGCTGCACCATAAAAATGCCCTCTTATTTCCCTTGGTTATATAGGAAAGTGAGGTTGATGGGTTTTAAGAAGATTAGTTTTTATGCAGACTATTGGCAGTGTAGAAGTCTGAAGTCAAGCATTTTTTCTATGTTTTGCTTAAGGAAAATCTTAGCTGACATATTTTTGAGCAATTCATGATATGACTGTAAATGTTCTTGGTGCAACAATATGTGTGTATGTGTATGTGCTCATGCACACAGTGTTCGGGTAATTTTTGCTCATGTTAATGTCTAAATGGGCAATTAGCAAGAGTAGGGAGTTTAGTGCTGCTCCTGGAGAAGACTGCATTGAACAAGACTAAACTGCATGAAAAGAGAGATAAAGGTATGGTTTTGAGCTATTTATACTACATGATAAATGTCTAGATAATGCACAATGGTCATACTCTGAGATCCTCAAGTACAAACCAATCCTAACGTCTCGGACTAATCTGTGGTGCTTTAAAATAATTTGTCTGATTTTGCTTTTCTTCTGTGACTAGTGACACCTTTAAGTAATGCACCGTTAGTGTCTCTTAATCCCAGTTGTGTTCACCTTAAAAATTGGCAGAGTGTTTTCACTCAAAAGGTATCACATTCAATTTAAGTACAGGATTTAGACCCTGCCAAGCCAAGTCCTCTTTGCCAGCAATTTGACATCCTGAACAAATAAGGTTTGAATTCCTGCTCTGAAACAGGAAAAGGATCATTTAGTCTGTTTAAATATCATTTAGAGTAGGATAGCTTTATTTTTTTGATGCAGCAGTAGAGTCAAGTGAGGATTCTGACAGATTTATTGAATTGATGCTTGTACATTAAACATACAGCTTTAGACATAGTTTAAATATATATTCAATCTTTCTATGCAATTTAAGTTATGAAAATACCCTATGATAGGCAGATTATAAATGCAACATAAAATAAATGATAGCCAAAATTTCTCAGGACGGAGTTTTTCCAGCACAACTATGACAGAGGTAATGAACAAGGACAGGGGAGATCACATGAAGGAGTAGATCAACAGAAAGAGGCAGGTATTTATTTCCAATTTTGGTATGTAAGTCAAACCTCATACTCTCAGCCCCTGCCTTCCTCCTTCCTTCTGTTTCAGCTATTGCCCATCTTTTGAGACACACTAT